GCACTATTCTCATATTTCTATTTTTGAATAGATATGCAGTGTATATTGCAAATAAAATGAGTGAGATTGAAGATCCCTGTGGTACTTCTATTTTTATCTCAGTCTTGTCTTGTTTCATTCCATCAAAGAAGAGTTGTATAATTCTTTTAGATATAAAACAGTTAACTCATTTTATTAGAGAAAGTGGCAGTTTTAATATCTTCAATGTCTGAATTAACTTTGACTTTGAAACATGACCAAATGCTCTCTTTATATCAATAAAAACTGCAGTTGAGACCAGACCCTCATGTTTTGCTATTTGAATATCATGAACAACTGAGAGAACAGTATCAATTGCAGAACACTGTTTTCTACCTCTCATTTATTCACTGAATAAAAGAGAATCATCTATAGAGCTTATAAAAGATAGTCAAGTAGCTATTATCTTTTCTAAAACCTTTCCTAAACAGTTCAATAGAGATATTACTCTATATGACTTAGGAATTGAAGTTTTTCTATTAGGTTTTGCAAGAATCACTTCAGTGGCTTCTCTCCAGCATTCAGGATGATATTCATTTTTCAAGAGATTGAAAAAGACCTCAAAATATTCATTCTTTAAGTAGGAATATGTATTTTGAATAATCAAGTGATTAATTGAATCAGGATCTGCAGCAGTTTTAACAGAACTTGAGAAGATAGCTGACTCTAATTCATCTTGTGTAAGATCAGGCCATTCTCAGTCATTTTCATCAATGTAGTTGAGAAGTGATATATTCTCTTCCTCTGAATCTGAATCTGAGTCTGATGAGTTCTGAAAGAGAATTCTCATGAAAGCTTGACATTTTTTCTCAAAAGAGTTTGCTGTATATGATTCATTCTGAAACTCATATTCTAAGGCTGGAAGTTTTGCTACACTTCTTGTTTTAGTATAGTTAAAAGCTTTAAAAATTTCCTTCTCTTATGCTTCTTCAAGAAATTTATTCCAGCAGTCTGTTTTAGCTCTTTTGATATCTGAAAAATATTCATTTCTGACAGCTTTGAACTCTTCATCAGATATTACATTATTTTTCTAATCTCTTCTAGCAGTAGCTAATTCTTTTCTTTTAGATGAGATATTCTCATTTCATCAAGGTTTTGAATACTCAGAAGATTTTCTTTTTAGAATATTATCTCTAACACTTGTTAGAATAATAGATGTAATAAGCTTCACTCTATTCTCAAGCATTTCATTTGAGATATCTTGACCAGAATTTCAATATAGCTTATTCTGTCTTTCAGATTTTAGCAGTTTTATGCTTTCTTCAACTGCTTTTCAATCAGCTTTTTCAAAGTTATACTGATTAGAGAGAAGAGGATTTTCACTCATTTGTTTTTCACTCAGTTCAATATCAAATTGAATAATCTCATGACCTGATCCTGATGTCTCATTTGAATCAATAAATCAGTTTACAAGTCTTCTTTTCATTAGATTTTGTGATATGAAGGTTAGATCTATAATAGACTTCTGTTTCATGTCTTTTCTAAAGAATGTTTGTTGATCAGACTTATTAACCAAATCTATTGAATGCTCAAAGATTCATTCAATCAGATTCTCAGCTCTCACTGCTCTCTTGCATTCTGAATTTCATCAGAGATGATGTGTATTGAAATCTTCTGCAATTATAGAGTTTCTTGATGAAGTTATGTTCAGAAATCCTCTATCAATTGTTCAGATATTGTTATTTTTCTTCAATGACTTTTCATTATAGATATTTATGAGCTGTATAGTATCAAACTCATTTTCTTTATCTATAATATCACCCACCAGAATATCAGGGTCAGACATGATATCAAATCTTAGATTAAATTGATATCTTGATCTCTTTCTTTCATAGATCACTACTCTTGACTTTATCTCAGACTTTTGAGATAAAAAGCAGTAGTAGCTTGAATGAGAAATAACATATTTTTGCTCAGCATCAAAATTCGGCTCCTGAAGCAGTATAAAATCAACTTTTTGTTCAAATGCAATTTAAAGACAAGAATAAATACAATTTGAGTTTCTATTCACATTATTTTGAATAAATGTGATTTTTGAAGAGTTTTTAAACTTTTTTTGTTGTTTTTGTTGTATATTCATACTAAAAGAGAGTAGAGTAGAATCTAATCACTATCATCAGATAGTAGATTATAACTGTTCTGAAAAGTAGAAATCTCAACTGCTTGCATTATATCTAGTTTATCATCAGAGTCATTTCTCAATTCTCTAATCTTAACAGAAGTTTGAGGATTCAAGTTCTGTTTACATTTAGCTGGATAGTTGGAGTTTGAAGACTTAGATAGTTGAGAGTTTCTTCTTTTTGAGCTTGCAGTTGTGAGTTTACTGGCTTGACTCTTCTCTTCAGTTCTAGATTGACTTTGAGCTTCATCTTTTCTCCAGTTCTTTTGAGTTCTAGGAGCAAACATACATTCTTTTGAGCTAGATGCATGTTTTTCTTTGCAATTAGAGCACTTAAGCAGAGTATGTTGACAAATTTCATCTCTTTTTGAGCATGTTTCACATTTATGCTCACTAGTTTTGTGATCTCTGGCACAGAATGCACATTTTGAGTCTCTAAAACATGAGATTGCAAAGTGTCCATATCTTTGACAGTTTGAATACTGTGTTTGAGCTTTGAGGTTCATCCTTGAGTCTTTGTATTCATGAACTCTCATTTTCAAACCTGCTACTCTTACTTCAGAGATCTTTGACTGTTCAAGTGTTTTTGTATATACTAGAACAGAGGCATTTCTCCTGTTTTGTCTGAACTCAATTGAATTTAGTCATACAGGCTTCTTTCTCAGTTGAATAGAGTTGTATTCTTTCAATTCATTTTTGAGAAGTAGTATTCCTTCTTCACAGTCAAAAATTTCAACTGGAATATCATGAAGAATGAATTTGTCTCACTTTTCATCTCTTTCAGATAGAATTGTTGTGTTTAACAAAGATTCTACTGCTGACTTTCAGAGATTCTCATTCTGAATAAGGAATTCAGCACTGAATTCAGGCATTGTAGTCAGAATGATGGAGTTTTCAAAGAATGATGATTCAATTGAAGCTATAACTGGTTTTTGAACTTCAATATCAGTCATCAACTGAGAAAAGAACTGCTGGTTAATTTCATTTCTGATTCTGAAAATGAGATTTGAGTTTAGCTTGTTTCTTTGCAGAATGTCCTGATTTGAGACTTTGAGAATAAGTCTTCTATTTCTGGAGATTTGAAAGTTTTTCTCTTTTTATATTTTCTTTTTCACTTTTCTATGAATAGAGGCATGAGCAGTATTCTTCTCAGTTTTCTCAGGATTTTGAGCAGGTTTTGAGACAGCAGGTTTAGAGACAGCAGGTTTAGAGACAGCAGATTCAGCTGCTTGAGTATATGTTTTCTTCTGATTCAAAGAAGAAGAAGAAGAAGAAGTAGAAATGAAAGAAGAGCAAACTGAAGAGTCAGTGATTGTATTAGAAATTTTCAAAGTTTTTTGAACTGTGTTTGAAATTCCAAGTTTGAACTTGATCACTTTCTGTAGTTGTCTAGCCTGAGCATGAAGAATTAACAGAACTTCTTCATTCATCTCACTCAGACACTGCTTTCCAAGAATTTTACTTGCTTTTTCAAGTTTCTGTATTTCAAGAACTTGTTGTTTCTCTATCTCTTCTTTCTTTCTTCTCTTCAGAATTTCAATCTCAGGAATAGTATTTGAGAAAGCATCTTTCTTCACAATAACTGAGTGTACTTTTGAACTCATTGTTCTTACTCAATGAAAAGTTGATCAGACTAATTCAATTGAGATATTTATTAAACTCTTTTTGAATTGAAAAGTTGGTCAGACTGTTTCAATTAAGAGGTTTCTAAGTCTGTTTTCAATTGAAAAGTTAGTCAGACTATTTCAAAAGAAGAATTGCAGACTTTTGTGTATAAAACACCTGATTTTTTTCACACTAGTTCAGTAACTAGGTTAGATTTTTGAAGAGAATCTAATAAACTAAAATTGATTTTTAAGATAAATCAATAAAATCTTTACAATCTCTTTCTTGGGATACAATGAGGAAAAGTATGATATCAATTGATAGTAAATCAGATGATATGACAGTTTTTGAGAGAAAAACTGACAAAAAATAAATCAATTTTTTGAAGACAAATTGATTAAAACTATTCAATTTTATTCTAAATTATCCAATTCTCCTCACACAACAGGTGTGCAACTCAAATCAGTTAATAAAGAGTGTAAAAAAGAATTAAGTATTAATGAAAGCTCTTCAGCCACTGAAAAAGTAATTCTTACTTAAAAGAATATGAAATTATGACAGAAAACAACTCTGTTTTTAATTCTTTGTAAGAATATTGTGTAAAACTCAGAGAAAAACACCTTACTTTTTTAAGAGAAGTAAAAAACTATTTCTAAAATCTTTTTTTTTTGCATTAACTGCTGCAGAAGAATGAGATAGAAACTGCTAAGATATGCACTACTGTATACTCTCTATCAAGACTTTCCCTCTTCAGGGTCTTGATATTATAGAGAATATAAGTCTGTTTCTATATGATAATATAAATATTACCAGCGGGATGTAGAGGAACTGGTTATTTATATCTCAAAATAGAAGACTTTGTCAATGATTATATCAATATAGAGTTAATTCTCAAATTCAATAGAAACCTAGTGTTGCTGTTCTCAATCCCTTGCAGAATCTATTGAATATTGAGATATTAAAACTAGATTTAATATATCTCACTGTGCAGGGATCAAAGGCTCAGTCAGACCTTGGGGTATACTGATTTTATAGTTGTCGTGTCTGCTGATTATGTATTGAATACAGTTGCTGAGGTATCTTTTTGTACTTTTCTGTCGGGGATGGGCCAGATTGAGAGGGGTGGTACGAGGGCGAGACTTGGCGTTGATGTCCAGATACACTGAAGACAGACCGCGGAGGTTGCACTTCAGAAGTGGCCGTTGATTATGTGCTTGATATTATCGCCGAGGTATCTTTTTGTATTTTTCTGCCGGGGATGGGCCAGATTAGGAAGGGCGGTACAACAGTGGGACTTGGCGTTGGTGTTTTGGAACATCAAAGATGGACAGGGTTTTCGCGGAGGTCGCTCCTCAGATATCTCCACAACTACAGATCGGGGATCTTCCAAAATCGAGAAGATTGGTGCATATGGCTAGGTCTCTTCACCTTACAATTTGTATGGCACTTTGGCCCGGGGTTGTGGTGTGGTAGGGGAGAACGGGGGATACTCCCACACAGGAGTTTCGAACAACGTCCGGTTCACGTTTGGCTGGATAACTCCACCACCACACAGGGTATGCGGTCGGCGATGGGGTCAGAATGCTCGTATGATCGAGGGCTTTTCGATGGATCTATCGGCGGGTTCTTATTCGAAAAATTGAGCGAGTTCGTGGTGGAGCGGTTGATCTGTCTTGACAATTGACCAGTCTACTTCTATCTTTCTATAAGTATTATCTCATAAGAAGATGTCATATCAGTTCTGATAAGAAGCTCAGATGCTTAAGCAGTACAGAGTAAGAATCTTAAAGCTTTAAGTATTGATAAATTCTGTCAAGACTGAGAAGATCTCTCTTACTCATTTATAAAAGAAGATGAAAGTATAGATCTCTAAGATAAAAAAAACACCTCAGAATAACTGATCTTAAGAAGAAGAGATCAGCTGACACTGCTATTGAAAGCATTACAGAGACTAATTACTGATTAAAGAGAATCTTACTTCAATTGAAACAGATAACTGAGATACTTTGTAAATTGATAAGTTAATACTTCATGTATCTCTTATACTCTTCTACAGTATACTCTTCTGTAGTGCTGCAGTGCTAACTTCACAGCAGACAAAGATACTGATACTGAAGACTTTAATAGTGAAGAATGAGTTTGATAAGAGTGAGATTATTGATAAGTAGACTCTGATCTCTCTTTTTACTTTTTCTATAAGCTGCAGCTCTATTAGAATAGCAGTAGTCTGCAGATTGAAAATATTAATCTTGTTAATTTCAAATATCTCTTTCTCTTAACTGCTTCAGGAATTTTACACTTGTATAGTCTCATTAAACTTCTAAAAAAAAACCCTTTGAAGAAAATAGAAGAAGAGTGCTACAGAGTTTATAAGATGCCAGCTCATCACTGTGAGATCATGTCTAAAAAACTCTTTTTTTGAGAAAAATGAGAAGTCTCAAGTAGCATTTCTTACTCAACACCTCTGATGTGTAATGAGATAATCTCTACTAGCTGTCTCATAGCTTGCAATCTCTTTCTCAGTATTTTTCAAATACTCAAGCAGTTCTCATGAATTCTCTGATAATGAATAATCTTCTTATTTAACAAGGTATTGAAGCTTGCTGTAATACATTTACTTATTCAATATTTTCTTCACAAGATATTCAGTATCACTCTTGATCTCAATGCTATTCAACTGAGATAGCTTCATCTCAGAGTATTACTTATAGAGCTTTAAATAGAAGATGTGAAAAACAGAATAAATTGATTTCAATTCTGAGATTAATTTCAACTTATATATCTGCTTACTCATTACTCTTATTACTGAGAAAGATTCTAGTCATCACTCACTGAGCTTCTTATACAGTCTCATTATCTTAATATTCTTTACTGAAAGTAGTACTTGATTCTCTATCAAGAACGTCATTGAAAGATGTTTTCAATTATAGTATTTTATCTATCACTTCTGAGTATGATGAATGCTTTTCACTGTCTTCTCATGAATTTTATTCAAAAGTTTCAATCTCACTTTTACTTCTGATACTGAGAAATACTCTGTTCTCTGTATCTGTTTAATATTCTGACTGTCTATTTCTCTCTTTAAAATGTTGTCTATGACATCACTGAGTAATGAAGAATTATATTCATAACAAGTATAGAAAGAAGATATCTTTAAGATTACATTCTTTACATTGTTATATATAAATTCAGTGATCAGAAGATGTTTAGATCAGTCATTCTAATAATAGAAACAGAATGCTTAAAAATGCTGTTCTAATGTTTGATTCTGATATTCAGTCTAGTTATCTGTCTGAGAATGAAATACAGTGCTGAGAAGATGTTTTATTATAAGATGATAATAAAAAGCTGATTAGTATTTACTAATGAAGAGAGATTCTCAATCTGTTATCAATGATTTCAGAGCATCATGATTATAAATAATAATATCTAAAAACAGATCAGTCAATTCAGAGGCTTTAATCTTTTTATAAATAGAGATATATTTGATTATCTTTGTAAAGTAGTTAATAATGATCAAAATTGAGTCATATTCTTTAACTCTTGTTAACTTCAGTAGATTAACTATGAAATTCATTGATAGATTCTATCATAAGCTCTTTGAAATAGACAGTGATATCAACTCACTGTATTACTTATATCACAGAATCTTTATTCTTTGACAGATATTATAAGTCTTAATATACTCTTTAATATCTGCTCAGAGCTTGTTCTAAATATATTTATATTTTAGAAGCTTCTCAGGCTTCTCTAATCTGAAGTATTCAGCATGGAAATTATTATAATAAATTCTCAATAACTTCTGACACACTGCTCTGCTATGAGAAACAAAGACTGAATTATTTAACAGTAGAAGTTCATATTCTTCTAGTTATCAGTGACTTGATTTCTTAGCAGTATTATTCTGCTCAGAGTCTGTCTCTTTCAAGTTCAAACTGAATTCTTTCTTCTTCAACTTCTGAATTCAAGTCACAGTAGAGATGTCTCTCTGCTATAACTTATCAATGAATTCTAAAAGTAGTTAAGTTAAAAGATTGTAGACTGTTTTATTCTTTATTAATTCAATGATAATAAGATATAATGTGGCGGGCTGCGCCCGATCAATCATATAGACTATTCCGTTATACTTCATAGATTCCTGCCGAAAGCTCCGATCCTCGGTCGCTGATCCTCGGCCGAAAACCAACGGAATTTCTATTCTTCCACCCCGAAGCTCCACCGCGTACACCACCACATATGTGTATAAATATCCACTTCAATTATCAATTCCCGCACTTTCTCTTTCTTTTCCTTTTCTAACATTTTTCACTTTGTTATATAAGACCTATATATTATACTGATCTATTCAGTGTAGACCTCTTACACTTGAAAAATGTTCATTGTCTTCTTATTAGAAATGATTATTCATTGAGAAGATATTCAAATGCGTAACAACATATAAGAAATAGAGAAATGATTAAACAGTTAAGCAGATATCAAGTCTTAATCAGTTGAGCAGACACTGAGTCTCTAAATAGAAGCTTGCTCATCAGTTACTCTGACTCTGTAACAAGATCTCACAAAGAGAATGTCAGTGAAAGATCTGAGAGTTCTAACATCTTAGATGTATAAGAGATTCATATAATTACATTTTCTCTGATTCTGCAGATATCACACATTTAATAAATGATATAACTATGTCTAATAATAATATGTAGACTGACCGTGTGACCGTGTCTGGGACCAGAACCAGAATATTTGATAGTTCTATTACCAATTTGACTGATCTCATTACATGGTTTTAACATTAGATAGTAGTCTCATACTGTCTCAGTGGGACTTACTGTCTACTCTGATCACATTTTTCAAATGAGACCATGATTTCCACTTCTCAATTTAAATTATTTTTATTGCTTTAAATGACTTTAAATCTCATTTGAGTGTTACCAAAACGCGTTACTTTTTAAAAAATTAAAAATAGTCTAAAAAAAACCTTAAAATGTCTAAAAATAGTAACTTTATGCCAAGAATGAGATTAAATGGGATCAAATGAGACCACTTTCTTAATTTTTCTAAGTCATGGTCCCATTTTGAGATCTGATATATAGTCACTTTGCATGTTTTTTTAATGATTAGTCTCAGTGGGATTCACGGCAAGAAATGTATAGGACCAGACCAAATGAGATCAAACGTGAAATTCATGGTCCCGGCGGCCAGTCTAATAATATGAGAGAACTCTCAAACATGAGTATAGATATAGTATCACAGTGGCTCTGAGCAATGTTGAAATTACAATAGCAACAGATAGCTGATATGCATGTGACTTAACAACATCAATATGAGAAAATTCAACAATTATCTCAACTAGAAATCCCTGCATAAGCAATTTCAACACTGACTGAAACAGATATGAATATGATATGAGCACTGAAGAAATGTCTAGATACTTCTACTTATTTTAATACTTCTGATCTCAGTCTCTATTCACCATAGAGATTGAAAATGCTTGTGAAACTAAGTGTAGATGAAGATGTCATCAGTTCATTAACTAATCAAGATTGATATATCAATGATTGATTGAAGAATCATGTGAGACAGAAGTTTCATTCATGAATGAAAGCATGCAAATCAGTGTTATATATATCTGACAATATCATCAAATATCTCAATGTTCTGTTCTGAGACACTGCTATACAATAGAAGACATTAGATTGATTACAGAGTGCTTGACAGAGAAATACTTCTCTCACAACATTCATCTCTGATTTCAACACTAAGATTCTAGAAGTAGATAGTCAATCTTGAGAGAATAGAATAAAGATTAGCATGCTCAAGAAGACACTAACTTTCAAACTTCTACAGACTCTCATAAGTGTAGATAAAGATCAGACTTATGAAGATTTCTGCATACAACTCTGAACATTGAATGATCATCTCATCAAGCTTAAGAGTATACAGAACAGTGACAGAAGATGTTATATCTCAGTCACTCATACACCTGCACTGAAGAATAACAATGCAGATGCTATGAATTAAGTGAACTCAAATATCTATACACAAACAAGAGTTTCTGCTGTCTGAACAGGCTTCTGAGTCTCTGGGATCACTTCTGAAGAAGTCACTGATCAATATTAACAAGAGATGTATATCAATTGTAACTGATTAGAATACATTGCTTTCAACTGCTGATCAGCCTACATACTTCCTCACTCAAGAGAAAGATTAGTATCTTCTCATTCAAAGAATGAATCAGCATCTGTTCATGTCAATCACATTGCATTGAAGAAAGATTCAGAAGACAACTATAAAGATGCTCTGATAAAACAGAGAAAAGATTAGCTCCTGTTCAAATTTGTAAACAGAAGCTTGAAGAGGTCAGATGACAACAATTTGAAGAGAAAATGATAATGAATGGAATTCTTGTATCCACTGTGATTAATAACATGTATAATATGAAAGTCATGATAGACAGCAGTCTATGTCATTATACAATGATTAAATTTTCAGTTATAAAATGTTATAACCTTCAGTGTATTCTCTTATTAAAACTCTGACTTCTTACAGAATTTGATGACTCAAAGAATGTTTGCACTCATTACATGATGAAGCTAAACATAGATGTCAGAGAACATCAATGTGAAGAAGCCTATGTATATGAAGTTGATAATCTTGATTATAATCTTATATTAGAACTTGTCTGACTATCTGAATAAGGTATCTTGTTGAATACTTGAAACAGAAGCTTAATATTCCCTATTAATGATAGAATCCATGAAGATGACATTCACAAGACTATAAACTGACACAGATCTCTGTCAACACTTATAAAATGCTCTGAAAAAGAAGTCACTGACAGAATTGCTGATAAGATCATCAACAGCAGAATTATATAACAATCTACTTCATCAGTCTGACTAATATTAAAAAAGCCCTAGAAAAGTTATCTCATATTATAATAACAGATTCTCATATAAAACTCTCTTAATAATATCATGAATATCTAGATGTCTTCTGATAAGATAATAATGTTACAAATCTATCTCTCTTATGAGATTCAGAAGTGAATCACACTATTAAGTTGAAAAAGAAGAATGACAAAGACTCTGAATCATCATGAGGCCTTCTTTATAACATGTTCTGAGATGAACTTCTTCTTCTTCAGAAGATACTCAATGATCTGTTGAATAAA